TCTGGTAGTTTGAGTTTGACTTAAAGTGGGAAATTGAGGGTTTTTAGGTAGTTATCTTTAAGGTTTTGTTGGAGATAAGGTTAAATAAAAATTATCGGATAACTGTCAAACAATTGCCAGACATGCAACCCCACTACTAGATCATGGAGGAACAGTACCGAAAATCATGGGAGAAGTTCCTAGCACCGAAGAAAACAAAAACAGAGAGACAAGAACAAGGAGGAGGCCTGCCCAACACACATACACTGCCCAGAGCATGTTTTTTAGCTTTCAGACTGCATTTTCCAGATTTTCCAGTTTAGTTTGCAAGATCTACTCTTGTTCATAGCCTTAGCCTAGGTTTGCTCATCTTTGTTCATATTTTCTTCTGCAAATTCCAATTTAGATGAATTTTTGAGCATTTGGAAGCAACTTAGCCTTCAAAACAGGTCTTCCCTTTTGATTCGGTTAGTTCTTCTTCCTTTTATGGATTTAGTTATGTTATTCGTTCATGTAAATAGGTTGAACGTTTTTTACCTTTGTTCTTTTGTCTCTGCATAATATTCAGACATGCAGTTTATTTAATTTCAATTTTCAGATTTAATTTTATAAGTTTCCAGACTTTAATCATTTCATAGTTTCTTCTTCAGTTTTAGTTGTCAAGTAGTTTAGCTATTTTTATTTTAATTCTGCTAGTAATTAGTTCAATCATTATGGGCTGTGTAGTTGAAATCATTTTCTGTTATTTTACTTTTTCTGTTGTCTGCGAATTTAATCTTTATGGCATGTTATTTTCTATTATTTACTTCATGTTAGTTTAATTGCCTTAGGATATTGCATTTATTTTAGAATTTGTAGCTTTTATTACATTTGTTTGGTTGTGAAGTCCTTGGAGGTTTCCAAGGCAATTAGTAACCCATTTTGCAGAACTTTACCCTCTGTTTTGCAACATCGTCTGGGGCAGAATTCATTTTACAGACGTTCTTTCCAGCCATTCTATTGGAGGTTGACCGTTGGAAAGGAGAAGGGTCGTTTGGAAAATGCAATTTTCTTGTTTTTAAACAAAGCAAGTGGCACGCCTAATAACCCAACTCACGTGGTAAAGGCCAGCTGAGGATTTTCGGGGAAACAATCCTTTGTTGGCACGCCTAGTGGGACCACCAGCCAGGTGTATCAGTTAAAGTTCACAGACCCTCTGTTTATACATCTAGAAGCGTCTAGAGCCATGCCACCGAGAAAGAGTAGAGACAAAGAGGTTCAGCTATCCCAGCCTGAACATGCAGATGACAGTCCACTCCACTCTGAGGGTGAAAATAATCCCATCACTTTTCTCCCAATGTCACCTCTAGTAGAATGGTCCTATGGGAATCTAATATTTAAGGAGAAAGAAGCAGACCGTGAGGGTGACTTTGCAGAATCAAGTAATGTGTTTAGAGGTATGACTGAACATCTAGATTTAGCATTCAAAGAACAGAACCAGGCTATGCGGAGACTTGTTGAGAGTCAAGCAGAATCCTCCAGACATAAGGAAGAGATAATTAGACAATGTATGGAAGACATGAAACGGGTCTTTGAAGAAGGCACTAGGTGATGCGAGAAACTGG